ACATTATAAATTTTTTATTTTTTTCCATATTTTTCTCCCTCTTCTTTGATATATATGTATATGTTGCCGGCAAACTTAAAATTCAGTCAAATTTAAAATCTGCCTAGGCAGAATTAAAATTTTAATTCTGCCTAGGCAGATTTTAAATTTGACTGAATTTTAAGTTTGCCTGCAACATATATATAGATGATTAGTATTTTATGTTCATGTTGGTTATCTTTATTGAAAGATTTCCATATTGTTCATGACTAATTAATGTAGTTGTGATTCTAAACATATCTGATGATGACTTCTAGTAAAAGTCGACACACGTCGTATGACTGCTTGAATCATTTCTCCTGTATAAAAACTCACCCTCAACTTTCCTGAAAGGCAGCTTTACGAAATCTTTCAAGTCAATTGTCTAGTTGTTCGTCGGCGCTCCTCTAAGGCATTACTCACGACTAGCCGCTTCGTGCATTACTCCTTGAGCTAGGGATACAGCGACATTACCGCGAATTATGCATAGTACACATTTTGGTATTTCTGGCAGTGTGTGGTGAGCGGTCAGAGTGTGGACAGTGTGAGACGATATGTCGATATCTCTGCGAACCCATATTACGGCGACAGTAGATCCGCCACGACTCTTCCACAAATTTTTGAAAATAGATTTTAAAAAAACTAAACATTAGAAAACAAACAAAATTACTGGTGTTACTGGTGAATCTAGTCGTTATTAAAATTTTATTATATCTTTATATTCAACTAGTTAAATATCAGATAACCACTTAAAAACCTCAACAGAATTCATACAATACCCAAAAAATATGTTCCGTGTGAAACTACTTTTCGAACTCACTCTCACACTGCCCGCACTGCCAGAAATATCCAAATGTGTACTATACAAAATTCGTGGTAATGTCGTGTCGGACTGAATGAGACATCCTAGAAGATATTTTTCTTTCTCCATCTTGTATCGAAACGAAAAAAAGAAAGGAAGGAAAGAAAAGGAAACACATTATCAAGGGGAAGTCTGTGACACACGTGTTTAGAAAACAATTTTGATGACTAGGTAATCAATTATTGGAACCTTAGTGTATTTCATAACATTTCGATGATCGTGTTAAAGACGTAAGAGTCAAACACTAGAATTCACTGTTTTTTCAAAGCTTCGATAGATTATGAACAGTGATATAGATGCAACTAGACAAGAAAGTAGATTCAAGAGCTCACTTTAAATTACGACGAATCGTTTAAGGACACTCTCATTCCTCGATTCATCGCGAGTGGCTAAATGCCAAATATTAATATTATCAAGATAGAGGAGACTTCCGGCTAATGGAAGAAACCGACTAGCGGTATTTTCAAAACGTATTGATGTCATTATAACTTTTTATCGTACTTTTTTTAATTGTTATTGTACTCTCATCGTGTAGCTCTTCACCCTCACCTTTACAGTCAGCTGCCGAATTGTAAATTTACCGCCAGCTGACAGCACCTCATGTGTCCAAACTTTGAATAGAACTGCGTGTAAATTATAAAGTTAAGAGTGTCCATTTGTCACACACAAAATACGTTTAGCAAGTAGCCAGTTGTTGTCATTGAACTGTTTCGACACCTCTTTGTTTACCCAGTTCGATATGAAATCAAGATTCATATTTTTAGATGGAAAATTAGATTGTTTATCCAGATCTTTCAGTTCTGAATAGTCCAACTGATCGATTTTTGTTTGATTCTTCTGTTGCGTCAACAGCATGCTAAAATATGTAGGAAATTCTTCAAACTCAGACAGTAACATAGTTTGTGGCTAAGATGTTTCGGTAGAGTAGATTTAAAATGTAACAATCTTTGATCATTATCTATCTTTTATAGATGACTAACTTCCATTAAAATTGATAAGATTTATGTTGCATTTCTTGACTGATTCACGCAATAGTTTCCACTCATTATCAAAGTCTTGATGTTGGGAAATGTTTCCATAAATAATCGATCTGCATAGTTCAAGTTCGTCTAATGCCCACGTCGGCATATACAAAAGAGTCACACAATAATCTTCGACGATATTATATGTTGACAGATTGTTCAGCGAGTAAATAAACACGGTTTTACAGTTACACTCTTTGAGAATACACGGCTGGCAGTTAACCACCGGATAAACAGTATTCGATTTCAAAGGATATTCTGTTATGTCACTGTTTTATGGTAATAGGTTGATGATTTTCACAACCAAAAAGTATTGGGCGATGGTTACCTGAATGATCGGTCGAGTTGATGATTCACGGACGGTTGTTCATTTGTACGGATATCATAGCTTCGTCTGAAATATCCAATTTAGCTAACAACTTTCGAAGAGTAAAATGATCAGCAATAGTACTTTTTCGTCGAGAGTCCGTTTCTTCATTATAAGCTAAAACATCGGATTGTTCAAGGGCTATTTTCAGGTTTAGAGCACTTTGTTTTAGAACAATAAGCTTGGTTCGATCATNATCGGTCGAGTTGATGATTCACGGACGGTTGTTCATTTGTACGGATATCATAGCTTCGTCTGAAATATCCAATTTAGCTAACAACTTTCGAAGAGTAAAATGATCAGCAATAGTACTTTTTCGTCGAGAGTCCGTTTCTTCATTATAAGCTAAAACATCGGATTGTTCAAGGGCTATTTTCAGGTTTAGAGCACTTTGTTTTAGAACAATAAGCTTGGTTCGATCATATGATATTTCTGCGACATACGTCGAGGCAGTGATGATTGAGTTGGCAGCGATCGAATCCACAGTAGTAGTTGTTGTATAAACAACAGTTTCTTCCGGAGACTTTTCGATCATGTTGAAAGAAGTCTAGAAACAAAAGACATTAGCATATTCATTCATTCATTCATTCATTGTTAACAACGAGAGAAGTGTTTTTATTATTATAGTTGTAATAATTTCGTTTTTAATGCGGTGCAGACGCCTGTTGTGGTTTTACCGCATTACAGAGGTAATTTACGTCTTTGTTTGGAATTAGATCGGTCACCCTATTTTCTACGATTTAGTAGTTTATTTTCCAGAAGAACCACATTAGGTGTTTTCGAGCTTGAAAAGGGACTACGATGGTAGCTGTGTTTAGTTCGCAATGACAAGATTTTACTCTTTGACTATCATAAAGTTCTTGACATACGTGTCCCAAAAGTTGGATACACAATTGTGGATTTAGACATTTTCTGCATCTTTGACTATTCATAAGGTACAGACGCTATATTCATTAGGAGTGCACAGTAAAAAATATTGTGTCGTATTTTGTGTCGCAAGCTCAATGCAAATAATGTGTCGCAAAATAGTGTGTCGCAGAAAATATGTCGCAGCCAAGGATGTGTTACAAATTTCGATAGGAGCTCTAGTGTTTTACACGACAGGATATTTACAAGTAAAAATGAAGAATAAATATATGAATTATACTTTCAAAGGATTCTACATCTTTGTATGATCAATCGTTTCCACTTTTGGAAGTATAAAAACGCCGACAGAAAGATTACCCTACACTGTTTTAATAATGGCTGCCATTTAGATAACTGATTTTGCTTATGATTTTATATATTATTAATGTTTTTTTTCTGGATTACATAAGTACTATTTGTTTTGTGCTTTTTTTTGTGGTATGAAAATGATTCTTTGTGAATATATTTTTGTTTTAGGTATCTTTTGAAAATGATTGTTGAATGATGTTAAAAAGATCAGTTCTAATGTTAAAGAACCGCTCAGTAGGTTTATCGTTCTCGCTCTTTTTCTAACGCTAAAATAACTAATTTCGTGCTTTCATTTGAGCCATTGATCAATTGGAACAAAATTTATTTGTATGTGATATTTGTAAATTCACTTTTGATAGTTTAGCAAGATACACACGGCATATGAAAACATATCGTTCTGCAGCGCACAAGGTCGTCATTCCGTGCTCATTCAGTCCAGATACATTTACTGAAGTTCATAATTGAAAGGGACATATCTTAAAAAAACATTTAAACAAAGTAAATATAAAACTGGGGGATATGCTTCTAATATATATTTTTTTTATATGTTTGTGTAGATTTCACATGGAAAAGACTGCCGCCCAGTTAAAAATGAACAAGATTCTGCTTATATAACTGTTCGTCATCCGCCAGATTTTGATTCTGATTTATCATTTGCAGAGGAGAATTCTACGAGGACGAGGATTTTTCTGTGCACGGTTTTTTCCAGAATTATGCACGGTTTGCTGTTTCCGTGCACTAAAAAATCTTTTGACATCTTTGTGCACGGTTACAGAAAGATGCACGGAAAAAGGCAGAAATGTGCACTGAGACGTTTCTGTGCACGCTTTTTGAAGAACGAGCTATACCCTGTTGTTTGATTATTAAATTTTGTTTATCCAAAAA